TGGAATCTTGTGACTTTATCAAGGTAAGTCTTGTAAAATGAGCGTGCACATAACTAGTATTATTTTTTTGTTTTTTGTTTTTATTTTTGTGATTCCTTGTATCTATAAACCTTTTGCATGGTTATCGTTCATTTGCAGGTGAACAGCCAGTGGCGGAAAGTTCAAGATCGCTTGGAGGATGACGAGAGATGCTTGCGCCTTGAAAAGCTTGTTAGGTTGCTCATTTTCCAGGTAAGTCAATCAGGCATGTTGTGGGTGTGAAATGATTGATCATGTTAATTTAGTAGAATTATAAGACGGTATTTTTGGTGCAGGACTACATTCGTGACCTTGAGAAGGTGGAAGAGGAGCAAAAAAAGTTACAGAAGGTATAATCCCATATAAATGATATTTTCCTTTTCAAGTTCATGTTCTTATATTTGTCTCTGAATTCAAGGAACAATTGAGGCGGGAAGAGAGGAAAAACCGCGATGAGTTCCGCAAGCTATTGGAAGAACATGTTGCTGATGGCACTCTTACAGCTAAAACTCTCTGGCGCGATTACTGTACGAAGGTGCTCAACCTTAAAATCGTCGCAGAGATAATGTCTAGAACAGTTGCATAGTAAATTAAAAGACAATTGATTATTTTGTTCTGCATCAGAAATTCGTTTGATATGTACTGTCTTTGGATAGTAGGTTAAGGACTTGCCTCCATATGAAGCTGTTGCATTGAACGCCTCTGGTTCAACACCAAAAGAATTGTTTGATGACGTTTTTGAAGAATTAGAGAAACAGGTGATACCTAACATCTCATGCCTCAGTCCATTAATGATTTTGTATGGTTAATGTTAATAATACATCGAGATGTAATTGAAGGAAGTTAAGGTTCCTTCATAAAACCAATTGGCAATATGAGGAGTAGCCCAACTTCTTGTAAACACATGCTAGGTCCCTTAATTCTCTGATGTGTGATTCACACTCTCAAGACAGCCTCACACGTGGGGGTCATGGAAGCCTAACATGTGGACAACATATTGGGTGATGTGAGAGCACATGGGTTAACATGCTCTGATACCATAAAGGAAGTTGAGGTTTCACTATAAAACTAATTGACTATATGAGGAGTCTCAACTTTTATTAGCATGCAAGGTCCCTGTAATTCCATGATGCGGGGATTCACTCTCAACAGTTTGGATGAGATGCTCTGACATATACGTAGGTTAACGATCTCACGTGCACCTCACCACCCAAAATACTAAAGCTCCATGTATTTTGGCTCTGTCACTGCTCATCATGTCATGTATGAGGTGTGTGTTGACAATAAAATGCCACATCGGAAATTAATAGCCTTGCATAGCAATATATAATATCATGGTGCTCTCCCCCCAGTGCTAAATGATTGTGGGTTTAAAGCTCTAACTTCTACAGATAAAATACAATATTAGTTTTAGAGTTTGATTGCATTACAAAACTTTGAACCTGGAATGCAGCTGACTCTATATGCCTGACATTGTTTTTTCTTGTGGACAGTATCATGACGATAAAGCTCGGATAAAGGATGCAATGAAGTCAGGGAAGGTATGCTGTTTTTAACTGTATAATTTTATAAACTTGTGGCATTTTGGGAAACATTTCAAATATCAATAATTTCTTTACCCAGGTTACCATGACTTCCACATTGGCATTTGAAGAGTTTAAGGTTCCTATTCTGGAAGATATTGGTTCCCCACCAATATCAGACATTAACTTCAAGGTAAACTTGTATGCTTGAAATATAAAGGTCTGTATAATAGGAGTTGATGGTGTTTTTTTACTCGTTGCTGGCATATTCCTACCCCCCATTAAGCAAATAAAATTAGTTTGTGTGTGTATTCAAAATATTTTTATGTGGCTCTTTATATTGTATTCAAGTTCACTGAGAATCATACAGTTTACTTGGATGTAGCAGTATCAGTGTTTCTTGTATCTTCTTTTAGTGAAATACATTCATATTCATCAGAGGAGAGAATAAAACAGTCATAACTTCTTGGTTTGAAACTTTTTCATTTTGACCCGAGCATCTTATATCCTGATGTATCATTTGTAGCAAGAAACCTTAAATGGTTCAGTGTACATGGTCAAGATAAAGAAGAATATCATTTTTTTTCTATGTGCTTCTTTACTTATTAAAGCTGAAGGGTTTGAAAATGACAGCCAGTAAATAATTAAACTTTAACCACTATCTTCATTTGATTTGGATTACATGGTTACGCCATCATCTGTAACACTCAATTCACGTATGCACACTGATGCAAGGATCAACTTTGTTCTGGTTTCTAAATCAACAACTGATGTGACTGTTAGTATTTACCTGTGTTGTGCATTTGAAAGTCTGCTAATACTTTTACTCCTTTGGAAGCTTGTGTATGAGGAATTATTAGAGAGAGCCAAGGAGAAGGAGGAGAAAGAGGCAAAGAAGCGTCAACGACATGTTGATGACTTCAATAACCTATTGCACACAATCAAGGTACTGTGGACTTTTGTGGAAGAGTATGAAGCAAGTGTGATGCTAGAGATTGTATTGACCTTCTTTGTAATGTTCTTTGTAGGAAATAACCGCTGCTTCTAATTGGGAAGATAGCAAACACCTTTTTGAAGAAACCCAAGAATACAGGTTTTTCTATTGATCTTTTACTGTAAAAAAAACATTTAACATGCCTTTTTTTGTTCGAAATTTTTAGTTTTTGGAGTGAAAATTATTTCTTTTATTTTCAGATCAATTGGTGATGGTAGGGAAGTTTTTGAGGAGTATATTACAAGCTTACAGGAGAGGGCTAAAGAGAAGGAACGAAAGCGTGAGGAGGAAAAGGTATGGATCTTATTGTCATCTATAAGCTGTTAATGTCATTTGGCTCGTCAATTCTTGCAATGTTAACATGCGTAGAGCTTATGCTGAAAAATAATTTACTTTAACGCAGTGCATATGTTACCTTTATAAAAGACAATATCTCAAAGTTTGAGCCTATGTAAATATTTTCGCTTTAATTTTTTATAGGAGTGGCATGTAATGCATTGTTATCAACTGATATCTTGAGTTGGGAATTTTTGTACTGATTCTGATACATTGCAGGCCAAAAAAGAGAAAGAAAGAGAAGAGAAAGAGAAGCGGAAGGATAAAGAGAGAAAGGAGAAGGAAAGAGAACGTGAAAAAGAAAAGGGAAAGGACCGATCTAAGAAGGATGAAACAGATAGTGAAAATGTAGACATAACTGATAGTCATGGGCATAGAGAAGATAAGAAGAGGGAGAAAGACAAAGACAGAAAGCACCGGAAGCGGCATCAAAGTTCCATTGATGATGTAGGTTCCGATAAGGAGGAGAAAGAGGAGTCTAAGAAGCACAGACATAGTAGTGACCGCAAAAGATCAAGGAAAGTAAGTGAACTTATCTTGTAATATATTTGGTCAATAACTTTTAAGCTATTCATGAATGGAAAATGTATGATTATTTTCCTGTTGTATGGTAGCATACACCTGAATCTGACAGTGAAAGTCGTCATAGAAGGCATAAGAGAGAGCATCGTCGAAGTGGTGAACATGTCGACCTTGAAGATGGGGAGCTTGGTGAAGATGGGGAAATTAAGTAAGCCCTGCCGATCTATCTTCATAGAGGTGTGAGTTTTGTGGCCTATCAGGGTCTAAACATACCGAACATAACCAAGATTATTGTTCTTTTAGCATTTCTCATGGTTATACACGACGGAAATCTGATAGCTGACATTCATCACAATTAATTTTAATTGAATGCTGTGTATTGTTCAGCGGTGGCTGGAGGGCGAGTGGTAAAATTTATCAGATCTGGTAAGATTAACATAAACCTCTCCGACCACCGATTGATTAGTTTCTTTTGCAGTAGATCCTACCATAATTCTCAGTTTTCTCGTGTTCCGTAAATTTCGTGTGTTGTCGATTGCAAGATAGCTGAATCATATGCATCAATCTTATTGGGACCGTGTGATAGATGCGTATGGCAGCCTTCCAAACGATGTTGAGTTTTCACATTAAATGCAAAGAGAAGAGAGACTCGGCAGAATAATTCTGGGGTTTAATGTTATATGCCGGTGGTGGTTCGGATATCTACATCAACTCGTTTGCCCCATGGGTTAAAACGCTTATTGCCTCTTCCTGTCACGCTGTTTGCTTTTGTTTCTCTTTTGTCCCTGCAGAAAAAGAAATTAACCTTCCTAATCCATGTGCTGTGTCTGTGTGTGCATTTATATTGGCTCGTGTGTGTAATTTTTTTATTTTTTTGAACAAACGATATTATTTACAAAAGAGGAAAGGGGGTGGGGTGGTTTAGCTTTACAACAGGTTAGCAATAATGTGGTTCAAATTTACTTTGACGATAATCGAACTTGAGATCTTTCACTTGTAAGTAAAGAGGAATACCATTAGGCCGTAGTACTAAGTGACATCATACTCTCTAATATAAAGAGCCGTAACACTATCAGTCAATAAATAATCAAGAGAAATTATTTATTTATTTATTTAATTTTGAAATAGTTAGCATTATGTACGGAGAGTCAGTAGGAGTTCATTTCTCCCTTGATACATTTAGGAGCTCCAAGATGATTCTCTATCACAGATGGTGGATAGTGAGCATGATTGGAGTCGATTTTTTTAAATCCTCTCTAAATTCTAGTTAAGAGCTCATTGGAGATGCTCTAAGTGTTGCTTAGCAATAAATCCAGATGAGAAATAGTTGGTTTGTTGCATAACAATCATTTCTTCATTAAGATAAATTACAGTTTGACACGCACAAAAACGTTATTTTTGTTGTTCTATGTCACTTCGATATACGTGTGTTAGTTTGTGAAATATGAGTTTGAACTAGTGACTCCCTTAACTGTAAGGAGCCAAGCAGTAATCTATATGAGTTGTGGTAACCAGAAATATTACTGGTGTTGGGAAACAACAAATATAATGTGGACAGACATGAGTGGCTGCAAGATCCATCAAATAGTAGGAGACGAACTGTCAAGGCACGGGAATGTCATAGTAGCGTAGTGTGTTTGTATTATAATGTGATGTGGAGATACTTCAAATGTACAGATTTAGCAAAAGTACACATGGCATTGTATCATCAGCACGAGTGACACAGCTGTGCCACGGAAGTCCTCATAAAGACTTCCATACACTCTTGGTACATGTCTATGGCATGCTAGACCGATAAGGGATCGTCATGTGGCCGATCTAAGATGTCACGATGGTGTACCGGGAGTGTATGGTAGTCTCCATGAGATGAGGTTGCTCTCAAGTAACTTTGGCATCAGATACAATTATTTTTCACTCTTCAGAGACAATGCCTTTGATGATCTCTTCTAAAATGGCGTCTCCAATTTCGGACCCAATTTCCCTTTTCTCTTGGTAACTATCATCCCATTCTTCACGGGAGCCCAACAAGTCCAACTCCAACAAAACATTGACGTTGGCTTCGTGCCCAGCCTGTTTACCTCCCCAACTCCCCAACTTCTCATAAATCAGCTTCCCAATCTCTTCGGCTCCAAGAAATCCGTTGGGGTTATGCTGCTGCTGCTCTTTCGATTTCTTTGCGTGATTTTCCGTCATCTCCCTCACGCAATCGAACAGGAGCTGCCTCTTCTGCTGCAACACCCTTTTCGATTTTGCAAAATGAGGGGATGGATTGATGCTAGACCGGACAGGCTCGAGCTTTTCCGAAATTCCAGAGGCTCTTGGCTTCTCTAATGGCGGGTGGAAAAGTAGTTCCCAGAGAGAAGATGATAAATTTGGGTCTTCTATGATCTTGTTGAAGCTATAAGTGGATGGACATGAAGTTTCCTTCTCTCTAGACATGGTGTGCAGTTTATACCCTGTTTAGCCAGAAGAGAAATTCACAAGTATAAAATTACTTAAATCTTGTAATTAAGACGATATTTTAAACTACTCTAATTAACGGTGAGGAAAATAAAAATTTGAATATGGGTGAAGGAGCTGAGTGCATGGTCTCGACCAACTGGCCTAACTCGTGTCTGCGGACTGAGAGAGAGAGGGACTAACTGTTGTTATAAAGAGGTGAACTTGCGTTTGCATGGGGCGGTTCATCTTCTGGTACCGAAACGGGGTTTTGTTGCTTACGGTGAATCTTCGATGATTGTCCGTTGAGCCATTCTATCTGTAACATCCTGTTGGCTTTGTTAGCAAGCAAATCTAATGAACATTTTTGTAGAGATTGGAAAATTTTCCGCTACCAAACTATCAATATTGTCGAAAATGTATCGATAACATGAAGGGGGTTGTATGGAAAGTGGTGTTCCTACCTTTCTCTCTTTCATATTACAGGATTCCGAAATTTGAGTAGCGTCTGCAGCAAGTGAGGAAGCATCATGCTTATTTCGCAACGAAACGGGAGCTTCTTCTTTTGATTCTTTTTCGCCCTCGGAGCACGAATCATACTGTGTCCTACTGCTGGCAGATGAAAATGTATCCGTCCCCCCGCTCTCTCGGCTTCTTCTCCGCGTCTCGGCGCCACCATTGGGCTTCCCCTCTCGGTTTTCACAACCCTTAGTGCTTGTTGTCTCACTATGTCTTGAACCAAGCTTGTTACACACAGATCTCAATACTTTATGGCAGCTGAGATTACCCCAACTGGATGATCTGGTGAGTTTCTTGCTAGAAGTTCTACTTGTAATCCTCGAACTGCTATTTGTACTCGAGGTGTTTCTCAGGTAACTCCTTTCAAATAGGTAAACCTCTAGGACAAAGGGCTCTTGCTGCTCTTGGAGGAGCTCTGCAAGTTTTACCGGCTTGGGGGTGGAAGCCATTGGAAAACTCTTAAGGTTGGGGAGGGGTTGGGATAGAGTTTGGGTGCAAACTGGAAAAGCCAGCAAATGAGACAGGGTGGTGAGGTTCTGGATTGAAGTTAATTGAGACGGACAAATCATATTTGTCAGCTTTTGGGACTGACAGAACCAGATCAGAGGAAGGAAAGTTGGTATTTATTATATGTGAGAGAGAGAGAGAGAGAGAGAGAGAGAGAGGGCTCAAATATCTCTAGGTTGTATCTTTTGGAAAGAGATCATATCCGGATCTCTTTCTTCTAATTCATCAAGTCTGAGAATTCGGATCGTTAAAATTTAATGTAACAGTTGAAGTTATCATAACTTTTAAAATGAGCCTCTATTTGTAGCTGTTAGATCAAATTTCAACGGTCTGGATCTTTGAACTTAGTGGATTAGGAGGAAGGGATCTGATTGCTTTCCATATCTATTGACTGGTTGAGGTTATGACCAATAAGTTATAGTATTGACTTGTTGCAAGTTAGGTCTTACGTGCTCTTTTAACCTAGATCAATATGTTTGCCATTTCGCATTCGTAATCCTTAATTTTTCTTATTCGTTAAATTAGAAGAGCTTAGAATAGAACATTTTACGTTAAAGAAATGGAAAATTGACTAAAATGATTAGAAAATCAAAATTTTCAATTTCTAAATTACTTGAAACCAAATCTAAACGGCATAGAAATCAGACATTGACGACATAATGAGAAATTGATCATTTCAACAATTGAAATGTAAAAAATAATATTTCTGCCCAATTTCCAAAAACAATAAAATAAACCAACGTTTTTTTTTTTCTTTTTATTTACCAACCCTTTCAATTTTGCTTCTGCAACTGTATATAATCTCGTCCCCTCACGTTTTTTTTGCTAAATAATAAATTTCAATGTTGTGTTGTATTCGTATCTATCTTCTATGGTTTTCTCCCGAATGGATGGTCCCATTGTTGTTGTGACTGGTGGCCATAAGAAGTTAAAAGTTGATGTAACAAGAGCCAAAATTTGAATGTAATTCTTTCTGCATGAGATAGCGGTACATGTCATAACGTTCCGTGTAATTAGTGTTTGAGATAAAAATATAACAGTACAATATGTCACACTAATCAACAAAAGAGTATTAGGCATGTATTGTAATTGTCAACATCTTTCAAATATTGTCTTGACATGTCTCTGTGTGTGTGTGTGTGTGTGACCATAGTTTAGATATGCGTTAAGTGAAGTGTTTAAAATATCAATGTTAGTGGAAATATTGATTGATATCGGTTGTTTAGATGAAAATGATGAAATTTAAAATGAAACTTTATAAAATATCAAATACTGATTTAAACGAAATATAAAAATATTTCTCTAATATTTAACCAATATATTGAAAGTATCGATGAAATCATTCAGTTTTAATGGAAATTTAAAAATGTCTCCTGTATGGAACGAGTTTTGATTCCAACCTCTTTTCCATGTCTTTATCTAATCGTGTGACATCTTATACTTTCAATCCTTGTCTTTTTAACATGTCCAATCTCCATCTTTCTATGATTAGTTTATATTTTATCTTGAAAGATAAAAAAATATAATATTTGAGAGATTAAATTTGTAGAAAAAATTTTGAAAACTAAAAGACATGAAAGTTAATAATTGGTTTATTACTTAAGCGTTGATAAACATGTTTATTCCTATCAGTGGAGAGATTTTTCAATGTGACCGGCACACGAGATGATACATCACTTATCATTATACAAATGGTGAGATATGTGTGTTGAAAAGTTAATAACTTAAAAAGTAAAATTTCCCACCACTTATATAAAAACACGTGGTGTACTATCCGTGTTTCTATCACAATAAAAAATTTCTTCATTTAATGACACATCATTTAGTTTATAAATTTTATCTTCCTAACAATATCAAAAAAAAAAAAAAAAAAAAAAAACAGTTTCTTGACAGATCATGCAAATGACATCATCAGCGTGGAAATCTTTGGAGATCACGAGGAAAAGTAGCTTCTGAAAAATATATAGTATTACAAAAATGATGTAATGAAAAAAAATTGAGGTATCATCGCCTTGGAAATTTTGGGGATTAACAAAGAAAAGTATTACCAGTAATGTGTAATTTAAGTGCTTCATGCATCACTGATTTAATAATTTAGGATGGTTGGCCAAAACACCATCTCATTTAACCAAATGCAACGTTCTCCCATCCTCTCTCCTTCTAAAAAGAAAAATATGTTAGATACGACATCAAGTGATGTGACGTGATTTTGTTTCGGCTACACGTAATTAATTTTATTTTTGTATTGACAACACACATTACAACTAGGCCTTCCACATGTTAACAGCACACATTATATCTAGGCCTTTAACAACGAATTTTGTGAGATCCGCTATATATAGGAATCAGGTTTTTTGGTTTGATTCTTATAACATTGCTTAGTTAATGGTGTGACCGTGTAAGTTTCATAGCTATAAGAGTCGTATTATATAAGGTTCAAAATCAACAAACCTATATATTAAACTCAACAATTGAATTCCAATTTTCATATTTTCTTTTTTTAAAATAGGGATCAGTTGGTGGCTTCGTTAAAACAGTTTAACTTTTTGAATTTCAGGGATCAAACTCATGATGTGCTGTATAAATAGAAGATATGTTCTCAAATTACACATAATACAAGAGAATGCCGCATTTGATTAATTCCCGACAATCATTAGGATTAAGGACCATCATTTGATTAGTGCCCCATTTCCGTGATTTAAGGTAAAATCATGGAGTTTGTTGCACCTAAAAGAAGCTCACACTTCCTCAAATATTAAATGTTGTGATAGATTTTCTTCCAAAAAAATATAGAGAATTATGACCTTTTGTTGTTCTTGTGGTGGGACTTTTCATGATGGGATGGTTTATGGGCCTCAATTTCCATCACAATCTTATCTCCAACCCTAATTAAGCATTAATTACTTGTACCTTTTGGGGCTAAACACCTTTTGAATAATCCTTAACATGTGAGGTGTGCCTTTACTTGTAGCCCACTATGGCACTACCAGCGTGGTGTAATGTAATGGGAAGGTGGGGGAGTATAAGATGAAACTCAAACAACCCCACAATTTTTTTTTAAGGAAACTAATAAAAAGGATTTGAAAACTTTAAGTTTTAACGATAAAAATAAAATAAAGGGTAAAATGAATAGTACTATAATTGACTTTTTAATGTTAAAATGTGATTTTTCAATAAAGTGAACAGTACCGCAGGACTCCCATTTTATTTTTATGGATTTTTAAATAAAATGGTCTCTGAAATTAACATAACTTTTTTGTTTGGTCTTTTGATGTTTAAAATTGATAGAATTGGTCACTGAGTTTGTATATCGTAAATCGTTTGTCATTCCACTAAAAATTCTCCGTTAAATAAGGATAAAATGACAAAAATATGTTTTTGTTGTCAAATATTTTGGCCCATTGAAGATTAAATTGAGGGTATTTTTGTCATTTTAGCCAGTATTTAATGGAGATTTTTCACGAAATGACCAAAATGATTGACTGTAAACAAACTCAGGGACCAGTTCCATCAATTTAATATCTCATAGACCAAACAAGAGTTATCCAATCTTAGGAACCATTTTTGCTAAAATGCCTTTTATCTATTTTATATGAGCAATATTGAGGGAGAGGAATTTAAATTTGGGACTTTGAGTACAAAGTAAATACTTTTAACCAACTGAACTACAATTCCATTGTAGAAACTCCTTGACATTTTGTTTTGCTCTTCAAGTACGGAATGAAGGGGAGGAAGATGATTTTTTTTTCTTTCTTTCTTTCTTAGATTGTGGGTAAGTGCTCTACAATTTGAGTTGCAAATCCAAGCTAACGATCTTTGTAGATGTAGCAACACTATAGTTTTGTGATGTTTCGCTATATTAGTAACGAGAAGTCTCATGTTTGATTGACATGAATAACAAGTTCAATACCTAATACATAATTGTAAGAATTAAAGGGGTCATTCTAAAAATCCACATTGATACCAAATCACAAGAGTTAGAAAAAGTCGTTCTGAATAGAAAAGAAACAAACGTTACAGCTTACATAAATATTACTAAATAAGGCCACTTGATAATCTTCAGCATCCAACAGATTTGGGTACTGAAACTGGATTGTTGGCTCTCAAACTCTCAATCTTCGACTTAAACTCGCTGTGGAAAGACATGAGCGATGTCTTCCGGCAACCAAAAGCGACACGGAACTGTTCGATTTTTTCTTCAAGGTCTTTCCTTCTCAGTAACTCGTGATTCAGATCCTTCATAACATTTTCCTTTTGGTCAGTAACCAGAGCAAGTGTTTGAGATGATTCAGATACCTTTTTGTGCAAGGAATCTCTTTCTTCTTTCAAAAGCCGAAACTCAGCTTCGAAGGCATCATATCTTTGCTTGGATTTCTCTAGAAGCTGGTTATTCGAATCTAGCTCTTCCTCCAGGCCATGGTATCTTCCCTTGATAGTGCTGAGCTCATTGCTTAGTTTTTCCTCCCAACAGGCAGTTTCTCGTCCCCTTGCACAGTCCTTTATCACAAAAACTTTAACTTATAACAAAGCCACTCTAGTTTTTCCTGGGAACTATACCCAGACAGAACTTTTGACAAATCTTCTATGAAACACACAACATTTTTTCACTAAACAAACAATAAATGAGGACTAAAGGGACACCGAAACGTGTTTGATTGCCTTTTAGAGCTCCTTTAGTGAAAAAGTTACATATTTGATTAAAATCCGTAAAATGTTATGTCCAGGTATATTTCTCTTTTCTCCCAAACCCAACTAAAGTTGGTTCTTTCATGATTTCTGTGGGTTCAGCTAAAACTTAGCATGTCAGAGTGCACATAAAAGTAAAACGCAAGAAAGACTCTGAAAAGGAGACATATACATATAAATATGAACCATAATAAGTGATTATAGCAGCTTGAATCATTCCTATACATAGATAGTTTCCCAAAATATCACAAAAATTTGAGTTTCCTTGCCTACATTGGAAGCAATCGTTCCTATTCTTGTATCCTAACCCATTTTCCCGCCCTTCGTCACTACTTGGCTTAAACCCCCAAGTATTCACAAAATTCTAAAATACCGTTTAGAACTCCCCTGTAACTAATACTTTATGCATCAACATGATTCAAAAACATGTAACAAATCTTCAACAGCAAGGCAGAGAATAGAATCATAACTAATGGAAAATATCTTTTTAGTTGTGACCAGGCAGCTACCTTGTATTCACGTGCAGCATAGCGAATTTCTCACTTGCTCATTCTCAAGACTTGATGGTTCTGATGACACAAACAATTTGATTGTGCTGTTCAACCTCTCGGAGAGAATTTTGCGCTGTTCTTCAATTAGAGAACTATTCCTAGAGAACACTCCTTGGTCCTCATCAAATGCCGCTGAGAATTGGGCTTCGAGAGTTGTAAAGAGGCTTGTGCCAATTTCACTTATGCTCGAAAGCAATGTTGCCGCAGAAGATTTTTCATCAGATATAAAGCTCTGTCCAGATAACTGTAATGTTACTAAATTGTGTAACACGAAACAAAAGTTGGGAGCTCAAAATGGAAAACAGCTATAACCTGAGTCTTTGATAAAACATCCACATAAATATCTTTGCAAGTTGCCGCACATTCACAAAGCCTTTGAGGGATGTCTCGAATTAGTTGTGCTTCTTTTTGGAGTTCAGATATTTCCCGAACTAATTGATCATTCAGTACAGCTTGTTCGGCATGTTTCCTCTACACAGATAAGTATCAAAACAGAAATCCATAAATCTAGGCAGAAGTATAATTTGTGCATTTTAAACTCTAAAGTTGGACTACAATATCCAAGTCCATATGCCATATACTAACCTTGAGATCATCTCTCTCTTCAACAGCAAGTTCTAGCTGTCTCCTCAAATTGTGGACCTCGTGCTTGTAGTTCTCATTTGAGCCCTAGAAAAAATTGATGAGATAAGTGAAAAAAAACTAATAAAACTTATGTCCGACAAGCAAATGCAAAACGAGAAAATAGGATGAGAATGGTAGCTTCTCAAAGTTTTAAAATGGAAAGATATTGAAAGTGAAGACTAGTAGGTAAAATTAAACTCACGGGAGCTTCATCACTTGGCGGAAAGGATTGAACTTTTCTCGCAGGAGTTATCTGAAGGGAATCAAGGTCAGCTATGAAACCTTTGTTCATTTTAAACCATGTGTCTTCATCAACCACGTTGCTAAAAGCATCTGGAAGAGGGCTAAAGCTGGGCAACTGTGAATAATTTGATCGCTTGACAACGAAGGAATGGGGAGCTGCCTTGAAATTAGATGGGGTACTGAAGATATCTCCTTGAGATTTACTACTGCTGTCACTACTAACTTCCTTAAGGCTTTGTCTCCCAGAATCTTGTGCCTATAAAAAGATTTATGGATATGAGAACCTCACCTACACACACACACACACACACACATGCACTACAAACAAACAGAACTACCCGAAGACCCTAAAACAACATGAAACATGTAAGTTAGAACTCATATTTGCACAACATATAACAAAGCATTAGAGGTATACCTGACTAGAACTTCTCTCAAAGTCTGAAGTAGTAGAAAGACTACCGAGATTGTCAGTTTTCATCTGTTGGTCCCTGATGCTTTGTTCGCGTTGTTTATGTGATTTCCGCTGCTCTTCCAGTTCCATTTCAAGCTTCTCGCGTTCTAGTTCATACTGAATCATAGAAAGTTAGCACCTAAGTTGACTAAATGTAAAAGAAGCAAAAGTAATGGTTGGTGGGTGATGCAGATGAAACTCTAGATATGGAGAGTTCGCGGGGAAATACCATACCTGAAGCATGTCGTTTCGCAACTTCAGTATTTCTTGCTCCAGCACCCCAGCATGGGATCCCTGATAATTTATTTTTTTTCAAGACAAGATAGTTATGTGAGCTTGTGTCTAACTTTTCATGTAAAATAAAAGAGATAGTTCTACCTGAAGTTTCATACGAAGCTCTTCTATCTCTTGTTTTTGTCGCTTCAGTAAGGCTGCATCTGTCAAAATCTGCAATAGATTTGATCATTAGTGATGCGCTTAGAAATTTCCTGTATGAGATGCTAAAATCTTGAACTAATTAGCACTGGAATATACTACCCAAGAAGAAACATACCTCATTAACTTGAGCACAATTAGTGATGCGCTTAGCTCTGCTAGCAAATTGAAGGGTCCCCTTTGTTTCCTCAATGTGTACCTAAATGCATCCATAACATATTATGATTATAATACATATAGCATTCAGTTATGCTGCTAAACTAAATTATATTACCAGGTGAACACTAATATGATACCTCTTCTGGTGCTATAGTACAAATAATTGAAGTTTTTGCATTGCCTCCAAGGGCAGGTTGAAGTATACGGGTAAGCTTACTATCGCGATAAGGAATGTGACCCCTGCACAGAAGTTATCATTAGCAAAAATAGCTCACATTCAGCTAAAAATGATTTACCAAGAGCAAAATAAATACCTGTTTTTTGCGCCATCACTAAGTTTGTTAATTACATTTCCAAGAATCATTAAGCTCTTGTTTATGTACTTTCCCTCCTTCAGACGTACTCCGCCAGCTCCAGTTTTGGCAATCCGTTCAGAACCAGCTAAATCTACCAAATTCTGCACCCATCATTTAAAATTTAACGACAACACTCACAGAGTCGGAAATAAATAATTAAGATGCTGCAAAGCATAAGAGAACAAATCATCTGGAACTGTTTATCAACTTTGATAGAGAATGGCAGAAAGAATACGAACCAAGACTGAGACACGAATAGCATCAGTACTTGAACAAGTAGTGTCCTTCGCATGGCTTTCAATTACCTAAACTCATGAGATACAGAAACCATTACTTGGGAGTTAGTAGTAAATCCAAAATTTAGTTGGAGGCTCTACATGGAAAAGTATAATATATTAATATGGACATACCATTCTGAATATTGTGTGAGATCTACTACTCCGAGCATTCATATTCGTTTCTCCAAAGTGCCTATTAACTGTAATTAACATTTTTGCAGGTGCATGTAAGAACGAATATTCAAGTAAAAAAGCATAGAGGAACAAAAAACCCAGAAACTCAAGTTTTGGTTTCCAAGTGCAAACCTTCTCCGGATTCAATGAGCTTCAACACCTGTTCAGCGTTACTGACAATTTCCTCCCTGAGGCCAGCAACAAATATGCCACGCTGCATGCGAAAAATCAGTGAATTCAGTTCACTTAAAAGAAGCTAACTAAATTTGTGAAAGGGGTCGGTGTAGCCAACCTCCAAACTCTCATGGATCTGCAATTTCTGGTTCTCTACTGCAAAAAGGTCGTTAATTTCCTCATTGTACAATTCCATGTAGGATACTCGAATCAGAAACTCCCGATGGGACATCTGGAAACGTAAAGTTGCATCAAATTCAATACCGCAAGCATCAAATTTAATCTAGCCAAAATCAAATTTCAAATTAAGAGAACCTCTATAGCTCATTACCAACTGGATTCTGTCAAAGACATCTCTAACAGCTCGATGAATGATACCCGGATCTGTTTCGGAACCATTCATGGTGAAAGTCTTCCCACTGCTGGTCTGCCCATAAGCAAACGCAGTTCCTGCAAACATTCCACACAAACATCATTAAACGCAAAACACCAACGAAACGGAGCTAATAAAGTCTCGATCTTTTCACATACCATTGAATCCTTCAACTGCGGCGTGAATAATGTCCTTAGTGAGAAGCTCGTAAACCCTAGAATTCGTACAACCTTCATCGAACACATGATCTGCAAACAACAAAACCACATTTCTTTCAACCAAATCACACCGAAACCAAACCAAAACAAATCAGAATCAAATCGCGAACTCTCATGTGCTCGCTTACCGAAAGCGTAGGAGATGCCGGAGATCGGCGTGCCGTGGGACTTGTGGAGCGAAATGCGGTTGTCGTCGACCTTCCAGAAGCTCCGATGGAGGAATCGTGAGTTACCGGAGGCCTCACCCGAACCGCCACGCAGATCTTCTCCATTGAAGCCGTCGATTTTGTTTCTCTCGAAGAGTCTGAGAAGGACTGATGGAATTCAACTTCCGCAGGCGGCAAATGCTCTCTTCCTTTTGGAACAGTTCTAATTTGAATTTCGTTCGGTTTACGAAAATGCCCTTTATTGATAATTTTTCAGTGCAGATTTCAACGGTTGGATGACGAACCAAAAAATAAAAAATAATTTTTAGCCCGATCCATGCTGAAAAGCCCATACAATTTTGGGCTCTCTAGTTTGAAGCCCAAATGCAATAAAAAAATGAAGCCCAATAGGTTGCCCTTTTGTGGGCTTCATCTGTACTGTGTATGCAGCAGTCTATCACAATGGAATCCAACCCTCCGTGTGAGTGTGAGTCCCTCTCTTTGTCCGAGGCTAAATTATATTATATTCAAGAAAGTATGGTTGGAATGAAAGACTATATTTACTTTTTTACCTTTCTAAGTTTCACTTGTACTTTTTTCTAAAACGAATATTTATATTATGTCCACCCTTATTTTTTTTTTCTTTTTTCAAAAGAAACCATAGACGTGATGATCTAACCTCCCACTAGGTTGCAATCAACAAAAAAGATAAGACGTTTAGATGACTACCTTAGAGTAGTATGTTTGAAACTTTGTTACCTATGATATTATTAAAATGTGTCACTAGGTTGCGAATTTTGTTACAAAAGCTAACCAACTTACTATATTCAAAAGCTCGAAACAACTTGAGTTTGGTATCGAGCTTGAGTTGTTTAAATTCGCTTAAGCTCGTTTCGTGTAAGAAGCAAGCCAAACTTAATTTAAGGTCGGAAATAAAATTAAACAAGCTAAACTTCAGTATAATGATATTAAATTTGGGTCGAGTTGTTTATAACCCTATCTATAGTACAATCTCTTGTGGTAGAGAGGTGGTCGATGGAGTGGCCACTTAAGATGGCACAAATTAGTAGCGCTTTGTTTTTTCTTTCTTTCTTGTTATACAAATGATATTAGGCGAGGAAGTAATGAACTTCGAACCTCATATTCAAGAATAAATGTTATTAATCGATTGAGCTACTTGCATTATCATTTCAAATTAATGTAAGTCTATAGTGTCGTAACTTTGGATAAGTCGACATAAACGTGTCCATTTTTTTGGCCCGACGTCAAAAAAGTATCTTTGCTATCCACTAGATATAAGAAATTGTAAGATTGACTGCAAAAGAAAAGGAGGAAGAAAGCAATAGGAAGAAGGAAGAATCAAAGAGACTGAATATATATGGAATATAATCTGGTTTCCTTTTTCAGATGAAGATTCATGATTATCCAAACTATGAACTACAATTTCAAAAGAGTAATGCCAGATAGAAGATTTTTTTTTTATTACATTGTAAATCATGTGATGTGTTACTAATAAAAAAAATAAGCACAGTTAAGTAACATTTAAATAATAATTAAATCATCAACAATCATATTATATGATTTATAAAATATAATTTAAATTGATAACCTGCCTTGCATTTCCCAATCCAACAATATATCCATGAACGATGCATACTTTGCAAGAAGTCAAAAAGAAATTTACTTTCACCAACTTTTTTCACTACTTTTGTTTTAATTACTACCAACCTATTTGTGCATGTGTTAATTAATTAAGTTGTCAACATCTAAGAACAGTATAATATTTTGTTTGATACGTAACTTGGTTTTAACAACTTACAAAGAAAGTAAGTGTCACGAAAGAGACAATATATACAACAGAGATAGTAGATACAGTGCTCTTAGATTCTACCATTTTCCGGAGTTTGAAGGATTAACACATCCAAGAAGTGATTAATGATCAACTAAACATGCATTAGAGAGTGTTAATTATCTCTTTTTCTTTTTATGTAGTTGAATTAATCAAATTGGTCGGCCTAGCTAGGGGGTTTCCTTTTCTTTTTCTTTGTTTATTTTTTAATTTTCTCTCCGGAATGATCTTTGGTGATTTGATGGGGGCTACAAATCCAAAAGTTCAAATCCATTCCTTGCATCTGGATTGAAAGAGTCCACAACAAGATTAATTGCATGCAATAGAAGGTCGACGTATGTTTTGTCCATGCACCTTTTCTTTATCCATCAACCACACGCGCACACACATCTATTTTTATGGTAGCGGCCTAACTCTCTTGACTACACTTTCCGACTTCCCATGGCTTCGGAAGAATCAGGATTCTCTCGTGAGTAAAGAATAAGGATCCTCCTGACTAAGCTCATTAAGTATTTGAAATTTTATTCAACGACTATAATTATTATACCTTTTAGAGAGATTCTCTGTTTATAGCCGTTGGATAAAATTTCAATGATCCAAATCAAAAGCCATGTTTAGTTATTTAACCCTGAATTGATAAGTAGACGAATCCTGTGCTGTCGATAAATAATGAGATGTTCACAAAAATAATTAAAGAGCAAAATTTAATATATATATATAAAAGCCCAAAAATAACTGAAATACTGTTCATAAGCACAGTGTTGTTTCAATTTTGCCCTCACACTTTTGCAATAATCCCGGTTGTGTCCTTGCTGAATATTTTTTTCTTTCTTCCTCTCTCTTCCCTCTCGATGCACTCTGGTTTCTCTTCTTCTCTCTCTCATATGTTCAATCTCTCTCCAAAAGTCCATCTCTCTCTTCCTGCGAACCACTCACCGTATTTTCAGTTTGGAACCACTCACCGTATTTTCAGTTTGGAAGAGTCATCATCCTTAGCCGCATTTTAGATCAATTTTTCACTGCCCTCCAACCATGTAGACTTGCTGCACAAATTTTCACTCACCTGCCATACCACTGTAAATTCACAAGTTTTCACCATCTGTTGGTTCTACTTTTTAAATATTAATTCCCTTTGTTTTCATGTTAATTGGATTGTGCTTTGTCTTCATCTTCTACACACCAGCATATTCCTAACTCACATAGAAACTGTAACGTATATAATTAGAGATGATTTTGGTCTAAAGGTTTACTATGAGAAGATTGACAAGAATACAAATAAACTTAAATTCATTTACCATTCTTGGGTTGTGCTTCCCAATAATAAATGTGTTCAGAGTGAAGGTTTACTATGAGAAGATTGACAAGAATGCAAATAATATTCCTTTCAAACTTCGTTAATGTTGCGTGCATATTTCGATTACGATTTGGGTGTATATATATTTATAACTTTCTACATGTTTTATACGGTTTTAAAATTCATAGCATTGCACGAGAACACTTTCATCAGTGATTTCTATTTTCAATGAATTTTTGCAATAATGATTTATGAATGAAACCTTAAAAACAAACACTTCATCAGACTATGAGATTACTTTGTAGAACAAATCAGACAAATAAATAGCGCTATCTTAAGTTACTAACTAGTTTTCATTTAACAAGTACAGATGTCTACGCGAGCTAGAAAAATCACATACTCTTGTTTGCCAAATAAAACTAATCACAGAAAACATTAACATTAGTGAGTAAATTGTGGCAATGGTCTTTTAACTTTAACTCAATTGGAGCAATGGTTCCTCAACTAAAAATTAATTAACATTGGTCTCTCAACTCATCAAAATGTGCGTGCAACTATGGTCCATCAACTAAAAATTTATTGTCATTGGTCCCTCAACTTTAATCCAACTGTAGAAATTGTCCATCAACTTTAACCCAATTCGAGCAATGGTCCCTCAACTTTAACCAAATTGTAGCAATGGCCCTTCCAACATAACTCGTTTTGACAAAATTTTGACAAAGTCGACAAAAAGGACCATAGCTACACGTTTTGATAAGTTAAGGGACCCTAATTGTAGCAATTGTCATTCCAACATAACTCATTTTGACAAAATTTTGACGAAGTTGATGAAAAGGACCATAGCTACACATTTTAATGAGTTGAAGGACACCAATAATAATGAATTTTTAATTGATGAATCATTGCTCAAATTTAATTAAAGTTCAAAAACCATTAATACAATTTACTCTAACATTAGCATGTCGATCGCATCAACTAGGCTGCTGCGGTGCGTAGTTGCCGCTTTGCCCAACAAGTAATGGGACAAAGTTAAAAAGTAGTGAATCATCATGCGCTAGCTAAAAGCAAAGCAAAATGTGAGATACAATATATGGAAGGAAATGCATGTCTCTGGAGAATTGAGAATCTTCCACACTATTCCTCCTTCGATATTAATCTTTTATTTTCCAAGTAACGTATAGTACTGTTGCACTGCTTTTCCTTCGAATGGACATCTCTCTAAAGTTCGCAAGCCTAATATATACCACACATATACATGATATATACCATAGTTATATTATCCAATCGTTAAGAAACAAGTTGTACATCTAAAATGCTCCAGCTAGCAAGCTGTAAAGAATAAGATCAAAGATTAATTTTCCCTTATTCTTAATTGCCCTAAAATAAAAGATGTTGCACCCAAACATATTACTGATAACATAATTTAATATCTTACTGCTGGGACCTTCTTCTTTTTTTTTTTTCTACTTATAGGATCTTACATGTGTTGGTTATGAATCTTATGATGGGTCGGAATTAGCGGATTCTAGTATAATACAAATTACAATATATTATTTATATTACAGAATTTAAGATATAACGGATCCAATCCAAAATTCTTTTTTTTTTTTTCCAAATTTTCTGAGTTGATTTTGATGCATCAAAGTTACAAATAATATCTGGCTCGTATTTTCTATCTAACTTGCACTCCTAAGTATAACAGTTGAGAACCAAAATAGTCTGTTAACTAGTGTACTCCTTATATATTAGGGTTATGTTGCGGTGTGTGAGAGTGAAGGCTTTGAACTGTAATATTCTGCCCTAATCTAATGAGAAAAGAGACCCATATATATATAGTTGAACGTAGAAATCTCTGATTGATAAGGACCATACAATTTAATCTGATTTGGTGCTTGCTTCTTTCTTTCTTTTTTCCCCTTTATTTCTAGCATTCTATTTGGCAAGTCCCTGTGTCCTTATGTTGCATAATCTAGGTACCAACTTTTTTCTTTAATTTTTCTCGTACTGTTTTCAGGTAAAAGACATAGATATGGCTGTCTGGATAGTGGAAGATAAAGCTGCGCAAATGTTGTGCATAAGACATGTATAAGAGTAATTTTATAGGTATCAACTAACAATTAATCTAAAATATTGGCATTCAAATTTTGAGATTCATCTTGGAAATGTTCATTATATCCTATAGTATGCGATATTGCGTACCTTGCAACAAAACTGACTGTGAGGATGCGAATGTAAAATAGTCTCATATCGGTGAAAAAAGAAACATTATAAGGGCTTATAAAAGATTAAGCTACTCCCCATGTATCAATTATTTTGGTTATATCAGTTATTACGATTTACTCTTAGGTGTTGGTATTTCTAGGGTTTGTTCACGACAAGACGTGCCATGAATAATTGCTAATTGCATTTGCTGCAAATTTGTACATATTATAGCATGACATGGAGATGAATAACCAAACTATTGTTTAGCTAGCTAACTTAGCATCAAGTTTAAAGTAACATAGAACAATATTATATTATTTAAATTACGAAATTAAAGAAAGGAAGAAAGAAAAAGAAGGTCTTCAACATGCAAGACCAAAAAGCTACTAGATGTTACTCTCGAATCTTTACGTAGACCAACAACGTGATGCAGAGCTACGTAGCTACTACCAATCTTTTTGAAAAAGGCAAAAACAAGTGCCTCAAGTTCAATACATAAATATTCTTCAATACAAATATTTACACGAAGCGCCAAGCCCGATAGAGCATGCATGGTGATAAAGCTAAAAGGCCTAACAAATATCGCCGGAGAAATATTTGCATACATTCCGCTCCTTGCAGCATCTCTCTCATATGTAGACATGATTACGTGCTGCTCTCAGTACTTACAAAGCTACTAAAAAGAAAGTCTCCCCCGATCGACAACGGGAACCCAAAAGTAAAGTAAAACCCAAAAGACAATTTAACCATCATTTTCAGTGACACACTGAGCATGCATGCAGCCTAATGTACCCCACAAAACCATACAACTTTTTGACCTTTCCTCTAATTAATCTTCATTAAGCTTATTAATGATGATCATTTTGCTAATTTCGGGATTCTTTTTATAAATGGATTAGACGTGGAAATATTTAATAATTATTGTGAGCACTGCGTCTGCATGGCAATCAAAATCCGGTATAAATCCGAAAGTCTTGCACGTAGTGCTAAGGACTCGGATGTCATCCGGTCATTTTCTCTCCATAATACGTGACAGTTTTGAGCAACCAGCCCCAAACGGTTCTTCAGCTCCTGGTTCTCTATTTTCAACCGGTCCACCTCGCTCGTCAGGTCCTCTAAATGCCTCTTCTTTCTCCACCTGGACCGCCGGGCTGACTCGCGGTTTGACATCATCCGCCTACGCTTTCTCTCATCAACTGTATCGGCCTCCCGGTTCGACCCCTCTGAGCTTGGGGAGGCCGAGTTCCCTGCTTGAAGCAAGGACAGTAGCTCCTGAATCTCGGCTGTTGTGAGCACGGTTTCTTGAACCGGACACTTGAAGCGGCCCATGTGGGCCGGTTCATGGATGAAGGGCATGACTGAAGAACTCTTCATCATTTGAGTGAAGGGGAGGGGAGGAGGGAAGGAGGAGAAAAGGGAAGGAACGAAGAGGAGGGGTTGAGTATTTATAATCGAAGGAAAGGATACACATGGGATCCACGCTATGCAAAAGTTTTGGAGGAGTGAGGGTAATTTTGTCCAAGAAAAGTATGTGTTAACAAAGAACTAATATATTTTTATTCTAAATTAAATAATATTTAGGGTTGGTGTAGTGCCATTACGTGCACAACTTTTGTGTAAAGCGGAATGGTAATGGTGGTGTGCGGTCATAGGGTTTCTGCTTATTTGTTCAGGTGGGCTCCAACACAATGTTAGCTTTAGCTTAATCACGAAGAATCAAACAAAAATGTGTAAACAAACAACAGATTATCTGAAAGTTTAGGCGAGAAATTACGCAAAAGACGTATGGAATACGCAATTGAGAAGGTGATGATTTGATTCTCTCAATATATATACGTGTGTGTATGAAAATTTCTGAAAAATATATAGTTGAGCTGTCTAAAATTGATATGTTGTAATGTTGTAAAAATCAATCAACATCTTCGATCGATCTCATGATAAATGTGAAGTATATGCAATCTTAGCGTTTAAAAGGGGGAACGTTTCTAGAAAATCATATTTATAATAATATTTTGAGTAATGCTAGAGAGATTAAAATTTTAAATTAAATTATTAAATCAGATAATGTGTCACCAATAAGAAATCAGCATATTAATCGACACTTGATTAATAATTCAATCATCAATAATCACATCATTTGGTTTACATAATTTGATTTAAAATTTTAGTTTTCTTAGCATTACCCTAATATTTTGATCTCATTTAGGGTATATAATCCTTTTTTACCTCCATTTTTAGGTTGTGTCAGATTTTGCTCCTAAAGTGATTAACCAATCTAAGACTAGAATCCTAATGTTTAAGCTTTAAATGGAAATTCTATTCTACAACTAAACCCAATCAATATTGTCGATATATGATCAAATCTAAAGAAAATTGAGTATAGAGATAAGTTTTCTCAACATAATTGTTCTTTAACGTCATATTCAGATAATGACTAGTGCATATGTAATCCTAATTAACCATAATACCTATGCGAGATGCATTAGTAAGTCTTTTTAAGAATATTTCATTTTGAAAAGGTCGCATAACTCAAGTGGTTAATACCGTTTAATTTTGCACGTAAAGTCGTGTGTTCAAACCCCTCATTCTCCTTTATCACCTGTATCTGAAAAGCATACCTCGGTTGTCACATTATTCCTTGTTCCTAGAACATGGCGTTTCTAATAGAATACTCACATACATTAAGAATTATGCAAAAGGAATCGAGGCAGTTTTCTTAGTTAGCATTCTTGGACGTTTTCTCAGTTGGCCGTTTGGGAAAAAGGGTTCGTCTCCGATCAATCAATCCAAAACAAAGTAAAAGTGGAGCCTAACATGCACACGCTCTCTGATGCGTTTTGAGCTTTAAAAAACCTGTAAAAATACAAATCAATGAAATATTAACTATTAAAGCTTAATTACTGATCAGGTTTGGCTCCCCTCTCACTTTTAGTCTGCCTCATTAAAATCGGAAAATCCACAGTAGGGTTCATGTGCTGTGCTGCAGAGTTTTGGAAAAGTATTAACCTGATCGATTCCCCCTATTTTTTAAACTCTGTTTATTATATAATTCTGCTGCGGTTTGTCTTTTTTCGAATGTTAATTAATCTTGGAATCCCAGTTTACTGCAAGAGACCAACATGAGCATCATGTTTCATAGGATTCAGCACCGTATATCATCATTTTTCGATCACTCAGTATTACTGTATGGTGATATTCCTCTTCATTTGGAAGTGAGAGGTCTTAGGTTTGAATCTCGTGTATGGCGAATTCAATATCAAATTATGCTGCTCATTGTGTAGCTTAACCAAACTCCTCTTCCCTTAGTGTAAAAATATCAATGTACTCAAACAACAAACAAAAAAAATCGTAATCCATTTCTCTATCCACCCTCACCACTATGATCTGATTCCTGATTTCTCATACATTAAATTATAGATTTTAATGTGAATTTTTTTTTTTAATTTCATGTGTTAGTAAACGCATGAGAATTCTTGAATGTAAACATTCAAGAACACTAGTGGATCCACATCCTTGTTTGCAATTTCCCTCACCCCCATTGATTCACACACATGAAAATATTCCCTGTACATCCTTACTTATTTTTGAACTCAAAAAATATATAATTAAGTAAAATGTAGAAAAAAGAAAAGTGTAGAAATGGTTTCCCTTTCTTTAATGTTGTCCATGAAATATGACTGCTTTAACTAAATGCCTCACAAAGACTGGAATTCTGATCCTCTCCAGACCTGTTCGGAGCTAGGATCAGGAAATCTGCACCCTAAGTTTGTATGAGGTGGTGGGCTAGTGGAATAAGTTAATCGGTATATTCGGATTCAATTTGAGTAGCACGGACTGCCTGGTCTTTCCGCATGGTAAGATCCAGTCCCAAAGACTGAGCCAAGGGTAGGGAGGCAAGGACAACTCCACAAAGTGGCATGAGGACTCATGACCCCCAAAAATTTCTGGACCCGCCATTTCAGAGTCTCGGGAGGTATATGTGATTGGCACAAAAATATAGTACTTAAACCGTCCTAAAAGAATTGGAACCTAAAAAGCTACAAAAGTCAAGACATCCCCCCTATCCTCTAAAGCATGATTACAAATCAAACTCTAGGCATACAAGAAACTCTAGCCATTCAGCAAGAACAAGTAGCGAATTCAAAGTGCTTCCACTCTCCAATATATATTTTATATATATATATATATATAGCTAAAGCTTATTGTTCACTGAACCTGGAAAGTACATTGATAGTGAAGATGCCGCTTAGTCTTGTAAAAGAAATGAATGTTTTACAATACAATTTACAGACGGCCCTTAGCCGGCGGCACCACATGCACACACGAACAGCAAGACGAGTCTCCCATCTACAGTTGGGGTACAATCTTTACATTTATCACAGGCGGTGAAATGTCTCTGCTCGTCTCATGTTTTCCTGCTGTCTGTATAGGCTCGTCTATGATATTCATTGCCCGCAAGAAGTATATATATGATGCTTACAACGTCACTGGAGGAGTACCCTGCATTTCACGAACAAGATGACTAAAATTTAGTCGTGGAAGGAGTGATCAACTGCCGGTTTTATTTTTCTGTTTTTGTTTCAATACTTATTTACACGAGTTACGATTACCCAAAAATATTCAGTAGCAACCGGGAACAACAAACTCACCTTAAAGAGAAGATCATATGCAATCTGTTCCCAGGGTAATGAAATGGACATTAAGCAGCATTTGAGAGGTACCATCTCATCATCAAAACTATGGGTAGAAGAAGCAGCTGCATAGGCATTCTTCGCAGCCACAGAAGCAACAGAAGCTGCTTTACGAACAATGGAGCCAATTCCAAATCCTCTTTTGGATATAACTGGTGAAAAAGGACCCAGATCTTGTTGGCTTTGATCTGATAACATAACATCGACTTTCAGTATTTGACACAAATGATCACATCATAGGGTCAATTATTTGATAATAGTACCACCTTTGTCACAAAACAAAAGCAAGCATGAATAACAACCTCACATGAAACTAGATGAACTTTGCATGAAAGATAACGATAATCATACGAATTTCCTACTGTCAGGTATAACTTTCTTTAGACCTTTCAAATCTATAATCACTTAAGAAGTGCGGGTCACATGATAATCAATCTCCATCTGAACTATTATGAATACACAAAATTTAGGAAAACAACTACTTCAACTTTATACCGTCACTAAATTTTAGAGAAAAAATTCCTTGCCTGCAACCCTAGAAACAGCTACTTCAACTTCCCCACGTCCTCCGGGACCTTTCATGTAAAGTTTGTCTGTTTTACCAGGGGAATGACCAAGAAGGTTCCCAAATCGAGACTTGCCAGCTGCAAGAGAGACAGAGAGATGAGTGAATCAATATGCTGCACCAACTTGTAAGATGCTGAGAGATGTATAAATGGCGTTCCCAAAATATTTAATGCATTGTTCAAAGATAAAAAAATATAGTGGTTGTGTGGGTGGAACCCAGTCTTAATGGATTTTGAAACAAACTGGTTTACAAGATAAGTGTGAATAAAAAAAAATAGATCTAAATGAAACAGCAGAAATTTAGTGAGTTTATCCAAATCAGCAATACTTTTACACATCACGTTCCAAAAACTCTGCATGTATACCACGAAATGAAAACCCTTTATACTCCAACCAACTTAGACCAGATAACATATGAAGTCATCCAATAGTTGCAGGGGAAATGAAAAATGTATCTAATGGCACAACAACATAAAGTTATTTGTAGGAAATCTTACCATCATATGCGTCTCGAACCATTTGATAGCTGACGAATCCTGAAAAAAGAGTCAGCTGCAATCATGACACCAGAAAATCAGAATGTTTACAGAGTATTCCTTGAAGCAAAAGCATGCGTGGGACATTCACCTATCTCATCTCTAATTGTAGTTCTGGCATGTGAAACAGAGATTTAGAAAGAAACCTTTGTATTTTTCATCTTTGCGGAGTTAGTCTCAACCCTCAGAGAGGAACTATCACTAGAACTGCAATCATTAGACTCCTTTTCCCTCGGAAATGCTGCCCCATCGTGTGCATTGAGAATTACGCAGTAGCAATGGTCTGTTTCAGTCAAGACCTGGAAAAACAGAAAATAAAATCATTTCTTAGTTCTTACAAAATTGTAAATTGTAGATGAGTCAGAAAGCAAACTGAAAGTCTTGCACAAAAGGTTGGTTAAAGTCTGAAAATGTGAGATTTGGAAAAACGAAAGATCATTATCAAATTAACAGAAAAGTGACAATAACAGAAAAGTCTCAAAACAAGCAGGTTTTTCAAACTGACTAATAACAGAAAGTGACGATCAAAAGCATGATCAAGCATTTAACTGTTGTGGCAACAGCATTATCAAATTAACAACAGAAGGTCATTTGTAAATGATCTCATCACATAAAAGGT